TAACTGATGTTACATCAGTCATGTTAAGTCTCCTCTTAAGTATAGCATCCGTAATGTAGCAACATGCCTCTGACACAACTCGCATGAAAGGTGTCTGTTACACACTTTAGCAAATCATTTTCCATTTTAATTCTACTTTTGTGTTGCATGGAAAAAAAATAACTGCATACAAATTGGGAATGACACAAGGGTTGATTAAATAATGGGGATGTGTAAGGTGAATTCTGGCTCTCATGGGCATGTATTTGAAAATGGCGCATTAGTGACAGCATAGCCAGCGGATAACTTTACATGTTGTTATATTTAGTTCTCAACACGCGCCTCATGTCTTTATTGCCACTTTTTGTTTAAGGTAACAAAAGAGATCATATGGCGTTGCTCTAGACGGATCTATTCCTGGCTAATGGGCAACGTAGTGAAAGGTAAACCTGATCCTCTGCAGGATGTCTGGAAGTCAGCGGGCTGACATTTGGCCGCCGATAGACCGGTGTGTGTTTGGTTGTAAGGTAACACTAGGCCTCAGTGGAGTTGTCAAAACAAAGAGGCCGCTCTCACCAGGACTGACTTACTGACTGTCAACTTGCGTATGTGTATATTGAAATGGCTCATTATGACAGAGGAGTGGAACACTGTGATGCGTGTGAAAGTACACAACACCAAAACCTGAAAAATAAGTCAGTATTAATGGTTTAAATATTTGGTCAGACATTGATTTTATTCGATTACAATTATTTACTATATGATCGAACAGAGAATTTGAAATCTGGACACAATTCGATTCAAATTAATTCAGTTTGAGTGACTAGGGTTCTGGATTCACTGAATTTTTACAACTAAAAATAGGTCACGAACTGTGTTTTGAGTAAGAAATTAGCACATAACAAGCTTTATGTTTTTATATTAATTATAAATGGAGTTATAAACAAAGGTTTGGGAGGAGTTGGTTCATCTAATCCTGCCAGTCGTTTCACAAGATACAAGTTATCAAATCTGTTTGCAATCATTCAACTTAAGAATTATATTAACATGTTAATGTGTGACTTTAAGAAGTTCCTTAAATGTGTTCCACTAAAAACAAGTGTCATATTTTGTGGTTCTCGATACCAAGTGGGTATAATAACCCTATATGTATCTGGTCAATGTCATACTGACCAAGTGTAGAACATGCAAAATATCTTCCACATCATCCCACGGATCGCTTTAACATGTAATCGTATATCACTTGCATAATGTGGTTGGGATTATACTGCTCTCTGATTTAAAAATAGTTAAAAAAAATTCTTTTAAATCAAAGTTGCATTAGATTAAAAAAAAAAACTCTGCCAAATGAGTTAATCTGTATATTTATTAATTTAGCAGATGTGCCTTGATGGAAAATGCTATTTACACTAATTCCACCCACCACTGTCTGGTTGAACTAAATACAATTATAGAAGAAACACAGTAGTAACAGGAGCAGCGGCATGGACAGTAAGGATAGTGGATTCAGCTTTTGACGCAAGCAACTTGAGTTTGATCCCTTTTCTATTCTTTTCCTATTTTAAATAAAAATGGATAAAAGGATATTTAATAGGCATGTAATTAAAATCGGATGTGGTGTCCACGTGTTGATCAAATGGATCAACTTGGCTCCTTTTCTGGATCTTTGGATACACCTTTACTGATCAGCAGGTTCAATAGGGTTAAGGGCAGGTGTAGGAGTGTGGGCTTTCGGGATAGGGATAAGTAAGGTTCCAATAAGGCATTTATTTATGACTTTAAAAAGTAAGTGGCACAGTGACTGAAGTAGTCAGTCGCCCCTTGCAAGCCCCACCATGGGCTCGCTCATGACGCCGACACTGTTATTATTGCAAACTGTTTTTTATAATGTACTGGGGTGCACATACTATCTGACACTATTTACACCAGTGTTTCCCAACCCTGCTCGTGGAGGCACACCAACACTACACATCTTCCTAATCAAACACACCTAATTCATCTCATCAGCTCGTTAGTAGAGACTCCAAGACCAGAAATAGATATGTCAGATGATGTAGACAACCAAAATGGTGTACCTCCAGGAATTGAGTTGGGAAACACTGATTTACAGTATTACGTATTTATAGAATCTAACTACTATTTACACTACTAGGACATAAAGTCCTGCTATTTTGCATCTATCACAATTTGCACTTGTTGCACTCGTCATTGCTTGTATTGTGATTGAATGTTACCTTCATGTATATTGAAGGTACAAGTTACCCTGATTTATGACATGACAATAGCAGTCAGTGGTTCACACAGTGTGCTCCTGAGAGAGGACTGGTGTATTGAGTTTCACACTGCACGTGATCCAGCTGTCATTGTCATACAAGTATTTCACATTAAAGCAACTGTTCCCTCCATTGTATAATCTACAGAGGGGGACAAATTCCTATCTGGTTGAAGCTAAATGACAGAATCAGTAGAATATGGATTGCAGAAGAGGAATCGTATTACAATGTTTATGGTTTATTTTGTTTCAGTATTTCTTAAGTGAATATGATAAACAAATATATACTTGTGCAGTGATGTTGTAATCTTCATTGAGTAAATAAGCATAAAAAATTATTGATTAGGGTTCGGTTTGGGTTTAAAGAGTTGGGTGAAGAAGGGCAAGACAAAAGAACAGTATCAGTGTATCTTACAGAGGAGGGGTGTCTAAATGCATGTAAAGGGAGTGCCCCAGGGTTCAGTACTTGGTCCCGCCCTCTTCTCGATATATAGCCACAGACCACATCAAAAATACCGTCCAGACATGCATGTATTATCTGGGAGATGTTTAAATAATTGCCATCTGCGCAGTGACTTTAATAGCATGACATTGAAATGCTCTAACATGATCTACTCCAACATGCATACAGTATGACCATAAAACAGGACAGTTTATGCTAATGTTAGCTATAGCCCCCTTGATGAAGTGCTGAGAATGCAATGCATTTTTTTTTTATGTATCAACACCATTAAATGGTGAAAATGTTGCAACAGCTAAAGTCAACAAAATGGGTTTTATATACATCAGAAGAACGTTTTCCAGACAGTTGAGCTTACAGAATTGGTATCTCACGAGACCTCATATACGTCACAGAGATTTGATGCTAATACACTCTAAAAAATGCTGGGTTGTTTCAACCCAAATTTGGGTCAAATATGGACAAACCCAAATGTTGGGTTAAAAATGTAATAAAAAAATTTACAGTTGAAAGTGAAAGTTGAAGTTCGGTTAAAATTTTAAATTACATTTTTAACCCAACATTTGGGTTTGTCCATATTTTACCCAAATTTGTGTTGAAATAACCCAGCATTTTTTAGAGTAGGATGCAGAGGTGAGGTGTTGTTTTGGGCCACAAGGTGTAGGCTACTGTACTTAAATTGTTGTATAGTGCCAATGGTGCACATTTTTATCAGTCTGCTAGGAAATGTACAGATTCACAAGCCCATTTTCTTTCTTTTTTTCTAAAATACTTTATTTCTTTCCCAAAATTCTGAATTTATTTCAATTAGATAGTTTTCCATATTTAGAAAGGGAGTCTTGTTTCTTGTACATGGTTTAAAGTGAGGTGAGTTTCTTTTACATTATGTTTTATACAGGCTTTGGTATTTGTAACATACTCTTCTATTTTGCCAATAAAAAAAAAAATAAAAAAACAGAACAAAAAACGTAGGCCTATACAGGCTTTGTCAAGCACAACAGTTCGACTAAATTAATTGTTAAGAACAAAAACTGTTATCAGTAATTTACAGAAAAACAACGTCTTATAGACACAAAGCGCAAAAATAGGCCTACTGACTATAAATAATGTGGTCTAATCGGATTAATCATACGAGCAGAACAATTATACATGTAACCACAGAGAACTGGACACATGTACAAACGTACCTGAATGCATTTTTAGGAAATGTCATGTTACATATTTTTAACCGATTTATGACGTCCTACCGCGACTGTTTTTGGCCAGGGACACGACGTTGCCGTCGGATCAATGTTTGCTGGGTAGTAATGGCGCAATGGCTAGAAGTCTTTCAAACAACATCGCCCGTAAATCAAGATTTGTTATTTACTAATACTAGCCTGCAGCATTAGCAGCTGGTATTTTCATTTTATTGGGCAGAACATGCATACAGCCCTGAGTAAAAAGGTAAGTTTATGTTTTCCAGAAGAAAAAAACTATACAATTTTAAATCCGCTAAAAGTTTATTCTGTGAACTTTAAAGAATGCTCTAAGCATAGACGTTCTTAAATCCTACACACATTGACGACAACACAAGTACAGTCTGGTTTAAAAAAGTTCAAATTTGAACAGACCTAGAAATGCACGGAGAAGGTCTTTGGCACGTTGATAACAAAGACTCGCGAGCTAAGATAGCGCGCGGGACTTTTTCCCGCGTTCATACTAAGTGCGCACCTGAAATAGGTGTGTCCTCCTCATCCTTCAGCCTTCAGAGGAGTGTCTCGGCTCCTTTAAGGCAGTGAGCAGTGAGCCAGACTGTGGAGGCAGGGGAGAGAGAGAGAGAGAGAGAGAGAGAGAGAGAGAGAGAGAGAGAGAGAGAGAGAGAGAGAGAGAGAGAGAGAGAGAGAGGGTTATTCTCTAATGCTCTGAGGCAGAGAGGGTTAGCAGCACACGAACCAATGCGATTAAAGCGCCACGCAGGAGGAAGATGCGCCTGCTTGCAGCCTGCTGGACGGCGAGAGGTGCTCAAGAAGATGGTCTGACTCTGGGATCTCACCTTTGTTCCTGCCGCTTCAGCTTTTCCGGACTTTCTTTCCATTCCCATTTCTGATTAAACATCTATGATTTATACTCCCCTGTTTAGTTCCTTTTCTTCCCTTTTTTTCAAAAATACTTGGTTCCCCCTGGTTTAAATGACACGCTTGAACGGCACCGTTGCTTTTGCTTTGAAAGTTTTCTTTCTCCTCCCGCATCACCATCTGCTCCGTTGAAAGGCGCTCCTGAATCAGCATCGCACCTGCATCCAGCATCCAGCATCCAGCATCACCCCCCACCCCCCTCCAACCCCCCCGAAGCACAGCAGCATCCGGAGAGCATCCGAGCTTTAACCAAGACAATCACACTATAGAACATCCGCACATCCTTCATGCGCAACGACCGGGCGCAAAAGCGCGCACATAATACGCACGGTGGAGATCCTATCAAGTCATTGGCACAGGAAATCTGGACTGGCTTTTGTTTTAACCTGACTGTTGGCATTCTGAGTGGGGGATCAGGAAAAAGCTGTGGACAAAGTGTGCGGAGTGAAAAGAGGAAAATCTAGCTTGGGGATTGAACGCAGCGGGGCATGTGGATATTGGCATTTCTCTTTCTCCAGAGCATCCTGAATGGTTAGTCTTCATTTTTTTTTCTTCTTCATAATTTCAAACTTAATTTACCCTCATCAGGACATTCAGGAAAGGGTGTACTGTATGCAAATTCATTTCAAGAATTGTAATGGTGTCATGGGGGTCACCTATAGGCTGGGAGAGTTCCCCTCCTCTAATCATTTATGGGGGAAAAAAACACCTTACATTAGTCACATTATGGCCTTGATGATGCCAGCACTATATAAGCACTGCGTACTGCAAAAAGCCTCATATAATGATTCCTGTGCGCGCGCACACACACACACACACACACACACACACAGGGGCCACCGGCAGGTATTGCACAGGTTTCTTGTCGGTTGTTTTACGCATGGGAAGATGTTAATGAACGTGACCTCTTGTTTATCACACTGAGTGTTGTAGAAGCTACTCATCCATGTGCTTTCGATTTTCAGTGTTGCATATCGTATTTTAAAGCTCCCCCCCCCCCCCCCCCCTCCTCCTCCTCTTTTTTTTTTTATCTATAATGACTAACGTATTTTAAATTGGTTATGTGTGCTGCGCCCTTCCCCATCCGTACAACTACTGTTTTAAATCAACCAACTCAAATTTAATTGAATTAATGGCTGCAATATATTGTTTAATTTATAAAGGCTTTGTTTATTTACGATGATTATAAATAAATCGAGTAATAGTGTTTATTGTATGATAACAATCATTTGACGGCGCACAATTAAACCCCGTGAATATTTCAATATTTCAACCGGGCACGTCAAATGAAGTTATTTCATCCAGTTATTTTTGTAATACACCCCTGCTGTACACTTGAGCCTCACAGTAGGTGGATAGCAGAGGAAATTAAATATGATTAAATTTAATATAATACAATCTCTATCACATGTTATCACAAATAAAACACAAATTATGCAGGCCTAACTGTTTTTGCTAAATGTGTTATATGCTAAATTGAAGTCTTTAAAAACAAATGATGTGTTTAGCTCGATGGTCATACTTTTTGGAATTGCATATCTAAAATGAGATTTTAATATGAAGCATACACAAATTAATCAGTGATTTAAAAAAAAAAAATAGTCCATAAGACAAATGCAGGGAAGTAGATGAAAAATACTACACAACGCCTTGATAAGTGTGTGTGTGTGTACTTAAGGGACTGCGCCTGCGTGGATGTGTGTGTGTGTGTGTGTGTGTGTGTGCAGCTAGAAATTTAAAGCCATCTTTATATTTTAAAAGGCCGATTGTGCCTTAAGCATGATTTCCCTTCACCTGTTCTCAGTCCTGCATCTTCACAGCAGTGTAAAAAGGTGTGATTCGCCAGCAGAACTGGAGAGATGGTCAGTAGGTGCAAACATGGAAGGGTGTGTACGTAAGGAGGGAGCCATGGAGGGAAAAACAGAGTCAAGCGAGACGGGAAAATAGACTTATCTTCTCGAAAAATTGCAGACAGACAGACATTGTCGAGTGCACGAGGCGGAAAAAAGGGGAACAGAGACCCATGCCTGGACCAAAAAAAAAGAAAAAAAAAAAGATTTGATGTAAAATGGCTATTGGCAAAATCCTCAATGTGAAGCTTTGAATGGCAGTCATTTTGAGGCGGTGAGGATGTTACGAAAGAAAACAACAGAATAATCCCCTTCTTCAGAGGAGGGAGATAAATGCACCCTGCACTCTTGCTGTTTGAGCTCCAAACGCCGAGGCTTTTCTCACTCGGGGCGAATATGAAATAAAAAAAAAATATTGAGATGTATTTTGTAATAACTTTGAATTGAAATTGCGCCACCCTGCCTCAGCTGAAACTCATAAAAGAGCAGTAGGAACTCATCCGTCACCATCGCCCGACGACGCTCTCTCTGTAGCTTTTCTGCGTGTGTTTTGGCTATTTCTCTGCCGTATAAAACCAGCTCATGTCTTATGCGTGCAGGGGTTAGCTGTTGACATCTTAATATGCTAATTTGTTAATTGGGGAAAAGTTATGAATATAACTAGACAAATGTGATTTGTTCTGTGCCCCTTTTTCTATGATCATCTGAGAATGATGAACATAACCTTCCCGTTATACAGTAAGTGGCCACTTTCTCGTCTCAGAAAGCATTGTATTCTAGAACATTCGAGCCTCTAGTCTAGAAGGTTTATCACATGCTGCTTGGCCTGTCACTATGGAAACCTCTATTATTAGAGCCATAGTCACGCATCAAATAAGGCCGTTGTGTGTGTGAGTGTGTGTGTGTGTGTGAATGAATGACCCCTGACGTACAATAAAAGAGCATCGGTTGAATAGGCATCTTATTGTTACCGTTTAGGAACATGTTTTCATCAAAGATGATCAAATCAAAAAATTTGATTGAAAAATGGAACGTTTTCAATCTCAATTTAAAACATACACCCTTCAACTGTTGCATGTGCACGACAGCCATGTTGTATGCATGTTCTATACATCTAATAACAGAATTTGGTAACACTTTATTTGACATTGTCCTCGTTACATATGTTACATGTACTTACCGTAGTAATAACAGTAAATTATGCATAATTACATGCAACTAACTTTCAACCAAATCCTAATCCTACCCTAACCCATACATAGTTGCTTAACATTACTCAGTACTTATATAATTACACTGTAACAATGACACCTTAAAATAAAGTGTAACCCAGAATTTCAGCAGAAAAGGGAATTTTTAGCACCTTGATTTAAAGCAAAACCGAGTAAAAGCAATGAGGGACTCGGGATGAGGAATGTAACTGCCTCGGATCTGTTACTCTCAAATGATAATCCGTCACTTGTTGTCCACAAAAACACATGCAAGTCTCGCAGCGGATTATAATCTCAGCCGGCTAAATCCTGCGCAAAAACATGCCGTTGTTATTGGGGATTATTCAGTCCTCGCGCTGACTGAATCACACCGAGCAATCAGAACGATATGATCCAGAATAATGACTTCATTTCAGGTTTAGCTGGGATTCCTTCACGAGTCTAAAGGAGAAATGCGAGGAATGATTTGACTAAATTTGGCTGTGTGCAACTGTTAATCTATTGGGGGCAATTAAGGCAGTTTGCTGATTAGAGGCCCATCTGTTCCGGTTTGTGAGATAGTCCTGTAAGACCTGCGCCCTGCAATCCTACCTATATAAAGATTCGGAGTTCGCGTCCTCAACACCCCCAATCCTCAAGTACACATTTATGTTGCAATTCACAGTGTCATTTTTTGCTCACTTCGTTCAGTTATTTAGCAGTTTAGCTGTTTTTTTTCCCCCCGCTTCCTTGCCACATGTGGCATAACAGGATCTTTTCATCAAGATGAGACTTTGAATGAGTCGAACCACCCACTGATTTTAATGTTAGCCACTGATTTCACCGTTTGTCTTTGGATAATATTAGATTACAGCGTTTTTATGTGCTTATACTTAAGGACTGTATCCTTAGCACTTAAGGATGCATGAAGGACTGTAATGTAAAGTGTTGTTGATATCAGTGCAATTCAACCACGAAATGCCAAAAAGCATATTTGTGATGAAATGAGCGGTATTGCTGAGATGATTTGCTGGCCGAGAAAGACCCGGGCGTTGTCATGTTAGAGGACGAACATGTTTAGAGGTCGTTTTGAGGACAACATGGAGAAACAGTTGTCCTGTCACATTGTGATGCCAGTTTTATTCATTACTTGGTACTGTACATTTACTTGTGAATTGATTATTTAAGTATTTATTAGTATTTTTTGTTGTTGCTGGAACTATATTTTGTTTCAAAAGCATGCACATTTAAGGGAACCGTCTTCAAACAATTCTTATTTCAATTTACTTCATTATTTATCACATTTAAATGTAGCTCCAAAAAAGAGGTTTCTCGTCCTTCGTATTAACACTCGGAGAAAGGAAAGAAAGGAAACGTTATATTTGTTATATTTAATAGAAACCACACTTTAAAACACACTCCAAGAGTCTTGCTTATATCTGAGACTCTAGAATTGTTTTAAAATTATATATATATAGGGCTATATAAGGTTATATATATAAACAATATAGAGTTATATCACATTAGATTATATTTAAAAAAAAAAAAGATTGTGACAAAATAAGTAATGGATGAGGACTTTGAAAAAATGAAAGAAAAACCTACTTATTTCTTGACAGGAAAGTAAGTAAATGTGTCACTTGCCTTGACCGTGAAAAAAATAATTCATTTAATGTTCTATAATCATAATTTCTCTATTTTAGCTAGTTATATTTTATAGAAACTATACACTCTCAAAACATCAAAACACACTCCAAGAGGCTTTCTTATTTCTGAGACTCTAGAAATGTGTATATATATATATAAGGATATATTATAATAAGGTTATAATATATATATACTTATTTTGTCAATTTAAAAAAAAATACAATCTAATTTGATATAACCCTATATATATATATATATAGGGTTATATCAAATTAGATTGTATTTAAAAAAACATTTTGACAAAATAAGTATGGACGAGGACTTTGTTTAAAAAAAAAACTTAAAACCTCCTTATTTATTGTTTTATGCAGTGCTTTATCTTTACAATATGTGCAAATGACATCAACCTAATATCCATCAAACCAAATGAATGTGTCTGTCATCAAGGCCTGCAGTAAGACGGCATCCCGTGACTTGTATCTCTGCATCTCAGTATTCATGTGCTTCCCTCCACCGCTGTCTTGTTATTTCTAAAAGGAGAGGCAGAGAGAGGAATGTAGGCTGAGGCATCTCTGACCTAGGTGGGAGAAAGTGACAGGGTGACAAATGACCAGAGCTTGCTTTCTCAACATCGTGATATATTTTTAAACATGGCATAGACTGTAAGATGTAAGACCAAGTTGGTGCTCGGTATTTTTAGCTGCCCCCTTTCAGAGCACTGCCACTTTGGCCAGATGTCTGCCATGCGTGTGTGTGCAGCCGTGATGTGGTCATGCGTTTTGTTCTTGTTCATTTCGACATTATTCATATAGAGAATGAAATCGCACACGTAAATCATCTTCAC